TCTCTCTCTCTCTCTCTCTCTCTCTCTCTCTCTCTCTCTCTCTCTCTTTCTCTTTCTCTTTCTCTCTCTCTCTCTCTCTCATATTCAGGTCTTAGAGATTTTAAGAGGACTCCCCCCCACACACACACCATTTTAAAATAAAAGCCCCACAAAATGAATTCTAACTGAAATGCTTGTCAAAATGCCTGTCATTTAATAACCTCTGTTTATGTGTGTCAAACATTATGATTATGTCTCCTCTCCCCCACCCAGCCCCACCCTTTCAAAATAAAAGCCCCAAGGATTAACTGTATTTAAACAAGCTCAAAATTAGGCTTTTTTGTTAAAAAAATGAATGCTCTTACTAATACTGCGACAACTACTACTGCTGCTGCTAATATAGTATTACTACTACTACTTCTACTATAACTTTTGCTGTTGCTACTATTACTAATACTGCTACTGCTATTACTGCTACCATCAATATTATTACTACCACTACTGCTATTACTACCACTACTATTATTACTTATACTACAACTGCTACTACTACTACTGCTAATCATGCTACTACCAGTAGTAATACTACTACAGCTATTAGTATGACTGCTACTAGTACTACTACTACTTCTTCTACTGCCATTACTATTACTACTTCTACTACTGTTGTATTAAATACTACGACCAATACTACAGCTATTACTATGACTACTGATACTACTTCTTCTACTACTTCTACCGAGTTTCTCTTGTACATTTTGCACATTTACGAATGTAAAACTTGAATCTAATTAACCCTGAATTAACAACTACACACACACACCTACACACATTTTTTGGTCACTACACAACTGATGTTCTCTTCTTAAAAGTATCAGCAACCGTAAAAGGCAAATACGAACACAATGACTGTGCTTTATTTAGCGCATACGTTCCAGAAGAAAGTTCTTTGAATAACTAATTTCTGTATAATACAGTCATTCTTAAATGACTTAGAAGTCAGTGGTGAGTTATTTTTGTTCTTGGCGAACCACAGGAAGATGTTGAAGTGTTGAAACATGGGCAACAAACTATATTTTGTGGTGTGAGCTCAATTTTTAATTCTAGCCTTGTATTGTTACAACTCACCTCAGGGTGCATTAAAATTTACCTCGGTAGTGGGGCAGGTTGGGACAGTGGAACTTATTGTATTGGACATTGAATAATACATTTTGTGACACAGTTGGAGGAATCAGAAAATGGAGAGCTCTAATAGAAAAATTTAGCGAGTTATAGGTGCTTGGACAAAAAGTTGTACAATCGTCCCCGGTCTCCCCTACATTTGTCTAAATGGTCCGTCCAAAACTGGGCGCATTCACTTCTCAAGGTGCACGACGTTCAATCCTTTGATTGCCAGTACATGGACCTAAAGTGTCCCCTCAGTACCATTCTCATCCTCACTGGTGTGCAGGAACTTTTGCATGACTGAAAGGGTATTCTATTAAGTAAGCTGCGATAATATGAGGGTCATTGTTGGTTTGTATGCTTCTAGCTGTATCATCTTTCTCGAGAAGTCATTTTTGCAACCACTGATACATATGCCATGAGGCTTTAATTTGTCTCTAACAAAGTTGGTTCTTCTGTAGCTTTCTCTCCAGGGTCCGGATGCTTAGTTTGATATCATGTGATTCCTCCAAAACCACTCAAATTTCACGATTTGTGAATCCACGTCTTAAGTAGTCTTTAATGATGGTATCCATTTGGATCTGCTGAGCTTTGTCTCATCCAACTGCTTCTGTTGCTTTGGCGCATGTGTGGAAACAACACTTAGGCCTATGCAACGTTTCTCATTATTAATTATTATTAAGTGAGTCTTAATTATGATATGCTAAGTTATAATTATAAGATGTTAAGTCATAAATATGAGATGCTGAACTAGAATTATGAAATAGTAAGTCATAATTATGAGATGCTCAGTCATAATTATGAGATAGTAAGTCATTATTTTCAGTAGATTTCTATTTTAATGACTTTTTTCATTGTCAGAAATGGGCTTCCATAGAAATGGGCTTCCATGATAATATGCATGACCTTTCTATTCGATAATGATTTTTTAAACTGTCCTTGGTCACATGAGGAGCTTTCACCTTTAAGTGCGACTCAACCAAACTACACCTTGTAGTCAAGCTCTATTCGGAATCTGATTGGTCAAATGTGAGAAGTGTTCTTCTTGCGGACTCCTGATTGGCTCAAACCTCACGCCGCCGTCACACTATTGCGCGTCCTGTCAGCGTGTGTTACAAGGAGGTTTATCCAGTGGTTCACAGTGGAAAATGGCGAGTTGGTGTGTGCGAGCAGTGAGACAGAGCTACTCACTTGTAGCTTCACCTGCGTTAATAAGGTAACACACTTAAATCTCGACTTTGTTAACTGAAATGTGCCAGTTACAGCAATGCTAGGCTTGCTTTGGCAGGACGGTGAGCTTCTGTCTGATCTGTCTGATCAGCCCGGCTAGCTGCGTTAGCTCTCTTAACCGACCATGGTCCTTAATATTGACCTTTACGTGAAAGATACAGACTGAAACTGACTAACCAGACGTGTGTGTCAGTGTGTTGGAGATGACCTAACACAACGTTAGCCTAACCAGCGTATTTAGTGTGTCTGTGTGTCATTGTTAGTATGTCGTCATGGTTGAAGAAGGATGATGAAATAACGTCCTAAATGTTAAAGAGAGGGATGTTACCTCGGTCAGCATGATAATATAAGTCTTGTCTGTTATTACGAGTTTCTAAATCTGAGAATTGAACGTTTCATTTCTCGTTAACGAACGTGTCCAAAAGCTTCTCATGACATTAGATGAATCATCTGTAATGTCTCTACACTACTCTATAGGCCAGAGAAAAATTATGACATAATAGTGAAGTACGTATAATGGTTCCAACTAAATGACACTTTTTAGGCTGTATAGTAAATATAAGTAGGTTATCATTGAATGATGTAATATAGTTGCACAACATTCTGAGTCAGTACTGGCAGTCATACTGTCATACTAACTTAACAGTTAGTTAAGCTGTCTGGTTCTATCAATCAGCGGTCTGGACAAGGAACCACAATATAATATATGCAGTACTAACAGATGGGTTCAAAGTCTTCCTCTGAAACCTATTTCACATCATTTTCACAATCAAAGCATTCCAGCAGGAAGCATCTGCATTAGCTATGTTTCTGCACTCATTTCCTCCTGTCAGTATATAATACTGTTTATATTCATACAGCTTAGTGACTGGATGACACTTAACTTTCAGTAAATAGATGACTGGATGATGTGTAACACTTGGAAATATTAGGGCTGTAACTAAGAATTATTTCCATGATTGAATAATCTATTAATTATGTCCATGGTGATGTTTTGTAAAATCTCTCTGTCTCTCTGTGTGTCTCCCTTGCTCCCTGCAACAAAGAGCATCTCCACGATTGCTATGCACAGCCACCCAGCAGAAGAATGGCCCTGCGTCAGAGGGTGCTGAGCGGCTGGAGCAGAGTGCAGCAGAGACCCTCCTGCTGGAGGAGAAGACCCAGCTGGAGGACCAGCTTAAGGACATGATGGTGAGTTGGTTTGCTGCAGACACACTCAGTGTAGGGCTTCATCAGACTGGTGTTATCTTATCTTTTAAATGGATAATTACTGCATCTCCTTTGACTACATCATTCTGAAATGAAGAGAGTCTGAATAATTCACCAAATTTTGTTAAGTCACCCTTATAATTTGACCTGACAACCATTTTAAGATGGACTAACATTATAGACAGTGACATGTTCATTTCACTGAATTACAATCTTCCTATGAAACATTTCTAAAGCCATGTCACTAGAAGATCATAAATATTCAAATGTTTTTCTGTCATTTTGAGTGAAGAAACATGACTATAAAAATTAGTATTTTCCCCCAACAACAGCAAGATCCGCAGATGAATGATCCTCTGCATGTGTACCGTTCTGCAATTTTTCACTATGATTAATTGAAAATTATTTGACAGATTAGTCTGCAATAAGATAAGTTATTTACAGCCCTAATTTTAAGACAGTTTGACCATTGTAAACGTAGTATTCCCCATTTGAGCTCCAGTGTTTGTAATGTTTAAGCTTAACTATCAATACCTCAATTTGAAGGTCTTATAAAATGTTTTATCAAATAGTATTCATTTGTGAATGGAGGACATGTTTACAACATTGTGTTCCATTTTGATCAGTACCACTTGTCCAAAAATACATGCTAATTAAGTACAGTTCATTCCTGAGTCTCATTACATGTTGGCTTACTTTTTCTACCGTGTTTTCAGGAAAAGTACAAGCGGGCGTTAGCGGACACAGAGAACCTCAGAACGAGGACACACAAGATGATGGAAGATGCTAAATTATACGGTAAAGATTCTCCATCTTGTTTTCAATATTTCAACAGGATCCACCACTTAATGTTGCAATGGATGAATCCTGCAGAAAATGTCTTCATTCTGTAGTTGCATGTTCTAACCACGAGATGTCACTGGGAACAAGGGCGACTTTAGCCTTTCAGTTTAAATGGAGTGTCGTCATCAGAATCAGAATCAAAACCGTTTATTGCCATGGTATGTTGAACATACAAGGAATTTGACTTGACGGGTGGTGCATAACATACAACAATCAACACAGTGCAAAGTAGAAACGTATTAAAATTTACAGTAAAATTTGTGCTGGGCAACGATTAATATTTTTAATCGCGATTAATCGCATGGATTTTTTGTGATTAATCGCATTATTATGGCAAGGTTCAATAATGAATTCAAAGGTAGTGTATTGCGCACTTTTATTTTAAAAGTACTGCTATATGAACAAAAGTGCAATAACATTTGGTTTGTAAACACTTTAAACAAATAAGGTTATTTTTAACAGCAGTATTCCCTTTACACAGTATCAGTTCTATCTCTTCACTATCTGTGCTCAGTGTGCTGACTGTATGTGAAACGTTCCACTGCTGTGCAACAGGAATAAAATGTTTCAGCACGTTTCAGCAAAAATGTCTGTCTTCATGACAGTCAGAGCATTTGAATGCAGCTCTACTGTTCATCAATATAATGCTGTAACTCCGAGGTAATGATGGTTACCCAGCGATCAAAGAATAAAGACACTTTACCCACAATTTAGGTGTATTTTCCCTTTAACTCATGAGATGCAGCATGTTTTATACTTAATGTGAATATAATTCATACTTTGTTGGCATCTTATTCTGAAAACCGGATGTTCGTCTGACGAAACCGGATGTTGTCTCACGTTAATCTTTCCGCTGACTTTCAAAGTCCTGCGCTCGCTCCCGATCCGTGCCGTTTAAATGCGTTTACCGTGAATTTCAGCATATACTGTAGGTGCACTGAAGTGTAAGTGTCTGCTGAGTTGACCACGGAGATCTGAGTGTCTGCTGACTTTACCGCAGGGATGTCCAGTAGTCTCCATTCCTCCACCGCTGCCAGTGAGCAACGGACTTTCAAAATAAAAAAAATTTTTAAAATGCGTTAACGCGCTATAAAATAATTGTCGCCGTTAATTAATGAATGCATTAACGCGATAACGCGTTAACTTGCCCAGTAAAATATAAAATAAAGTGCACAAACAAACAGATAACAGGACTATAAACAAGTGAGATGTGATGAGGTTGGTTTAGTTTACTTAAAACCTGTATTTGCACTGTTTACATACTATAATTACAATGAACTTGATTTAGATTTCCATGAAGAGCTTATTAGATATTTTTCTAATTTGAGTGTGCATACATTACTTACTATTTTTTGTATACCTATATAACTCAGTTTTTTTTTTCTAGCTACCAGATACTGGAGGCACTCTAATTGTACTGTATTATGTATTATCTGAGTAATGTAATTTTAGGCTGCCTTCAAACATCTGGCTGGGGACAGCAGATGAAAACTAGCCTTTCTGGCTAACTCTGGCTCACTTACAGTTTGACTGTTGATTGGTGTGCATTGTCCCTGCAAAATAAACAAATAAATTATAAATATGAGAGAGCAACTTGTCTGTCTGGTTTTTAATTCTCCATTTGAAAAGCTGTGATGTATCTCCCGCTTGCTAACAGGGAAGATTTTTTTCTTACGTGGTCTGGTATGGCCGCTGGTTAATGTTGTAAACTTGTTTTGTAACTGATATTATTTCATTGACTATGTTTTCTCAGTCAGTGCCACTGCTACGCTGCATTTTAGTAAAAATATAACAAGAAGTAAACTCTACGTACGTCACCAGGAGACCGGTTGTGAGATTTAAAGCATGTTGAATAATGTTCTACCTACTTCCATCACCAGGGATCCAGGGCTTCTGTAAGGACCTGCTGGAGGTGGCCGATATCCTGGAGAAGGCCACAGAGAGTGTGCCCAAGGAGGAGGTGACGACCCAGAACCCTCACCTGAAGAACCTGTACGACGGACTGGTGATGACGGAGGTCCAGATCCAGAAGGTCTTCATCAAGCATGGCCTGGTCAAGCTCAACCCCGACGGCCAGAAATTTGACCCCTACGAGCACGAGGCGCTCTTTCACGCCCCTGTGGAGGGCAAAGAGCCTGGCACCGTCGCCATGGTAACCAAAGTGGGCTACAAGCTTCACAGTCGCACCCTCAGGCCAGCATTAGTGGGCGTGGCCAAAGCCCCTTAGAAAGAGTGATGTAACTGTGCCAAAGTGGGATTTGCTTTGTTGCCTGAGTGTCTGATGACCTCAGGTACAACAGACTGGTTGAGGCTCAAAGAGATGGGAACCCAGCTGAGCTGGACTTTGTATCTGAACAATATCCACCAGCTTTTAACGGAAACATTTACACAGGACAGTCTTTACAGTAGAATTTCAGCTGGTCATGTGAGTAATTTCAGAGTCAGTTTATGTCAGCCTCACCAGATCACACACGGAGGCTTTGTCTCTTCCTACAACCGTCAATCCTAAAGAAACACAGGTGAAACGATCTATGATGTAACATCCATCCACAAACTGAGTAGTACTGATTCTGAACTGTAAGTATCATTCCAGACTTCTGTTTAAAGCCCTAGTAAACTTAAACTCGACTCCTCAATTTTCTTATTTGTGAGTTTTAAATTCATTGTGTGAATAAAGCGAGGAGCAGGAGGCTACTTGAATATCTGAAGAAAGGTTGCGATGTTACTTTGTATTGAGTTCATGGTAGCCTTCCTTCTCTTGTTCATGTGATCAGGCTCTGGTCAGCCAGCCTCAGTCAGTAATGTAACAGCTTTAACTTTAAACCATTAGAAGAATTATGTAATATTTAAACTACTTTACTTCTCTGATTCAGTCAAACCTAAACACAGCCATATTTTAGATACAGGGGACTTGCACTTCTCAAGGATATTGTCTCTGTGGTCCATCACAAATAGTCGTACATGAAATCGTAAAGACTCCTTTTAACTCCAGACCTGGCCTGAAAATGACGATGTTTTCTTCAGTAGTAAAATATTCCAGCGATGGTTATGCGTACCTCCATACACTGCCAACTGGAACTACAAATGGCTAATTCTGCTGACACTTAATAGTGCCAATTTGTCCAAATGTGAACAAATGCTGGCAACAAAAACACGTAACTTTGTAGCCCACCGTTAAAACGGCAGCAACAACAGTTAAGTCGACTTACTCAAAGCATTGCTCTTTTACAGAACTCTCAACAGCGCAATCGTGCCCCTCATCGGGGCCCCATAATATGCAGGCGCTGTCAACAGCCTGGTCACTGATGCGAGAGAGGGCAACGGGTTTATGAAGGTATATTTGTGTCTTTATTACCCAAACAAACAAAAAAATTTTGAAAGCAAATCTCACACTGCAATCAAAAATCAAGTTTGTAAGTGAAAATATATAAACTGAGAATAATTTATTTGTTAGTTTTGCTTGTGAAACTAGAATTTTTGGTTAAAAAAATAAAATCTTTGGTTAAAAACAAAACAATCTTTGGTTGAAAAAAAAAAAGCTTTGGTTTTGAAACCAAAAGCTGAGCTTGGATGTAGTGGGCGGGGCATACGCTGCTGAATGTACCAGGAGTTTCTATTGGTCGGTTTGACTTGTCTCTCGGTATCTGCATCATCTAAACACAGACGGGAGGTTACGGTGACATGGAGGTAAGTTGACTGCTGTTTTGTCAAAATTATTTTAAATATAGCAGCACTTCACTTTGTTCTCATGTTGTTAGTGTCGTGGAGTCTCTTTTTAAGAACGACATGGAGGGCTGCTGTGTTGACATGTAGCCCCACTGTGGGCTAACGTTACATGCCCCTGAGGCATGACTATGTTAGCTAAGGTTAGCTACACATGTATGACACAATTTAAAACAAATCCTATGAGCTTGGTTCTCTGCGACCGAGGTAGGTACAGATAACGACACTGTAGCTAAAAACGACATGCGTCTTATGACTACACTGGACAGACACCGAAGAAAACTTTTACTACTTCTGCCACCTCTGCTTGAAACGTCCCTTTATTTGTTCAAACGCACCACCTTGTGGCGGAAGCTGTGCAGTACACACACATACATGATAGTAGATAAATTGGCAATTATGAACGCAGGGAAAACTCTGGGAAAATACTTTAAATCAGTGTATTTTAGATCACATATATGCCTCGCGTGGAAATTAACATGCATGTGCTACAACTCTATTATTTTTATTCATAGGTTCTTCTTGTATGCAATTGTAAATAAACCTATTAAATTAGTTTAATTGATTAACACAAAAATATTAAGTTTTGGGTTCCTGCTAACAAGTACGAATCATGTAACAGTAAAAGGTACCCAAAATATTCAACATAAACACTATTGTAAGTAACATTATCAGTTGACCCCATACAAAGGCTTGTATCATTTGATACTTGATAATTAACAAAATTGTACCACTTGTGCATTTATAATAAGCTCGAGAGAGTAAAATAGTGACACAAAACGCATTAAACTTACATTTAAATGTGTCTGTGTATTATGGAGGGGTTCTGTATATTTGTTAAATCATTCCATTGTTTAGTTTGTTGGCAATGACTGGCTTTTCTTGTTATACGATATGACTATATGGTCTGTGTATTTATAATAATCCAGTGTGGTCATAATTCCCTTTTCTACAGAATGGAACCTCTTCCACAAAGAGCTTTTGTTCAGGTATGTTGACCTCTCTCCTCAAAATGTAATTTATCTGTATATACACATCTAAACATGTTTTGATACCACTGCTCTAATAAATTTCTATTTTGCTAAATTCCCTCTTACAGGAATGCATTAGCAGGTGGCTTTTATGCAGGGTCAGGGATCGGCTTTCTGCAGTAGTCACAAGGGAGCCAATTGATTTTGATTACCTGCACATGGTTATCTCTCAGGAATTGCAGTTTCTTCGAGCAGGGGCAGCCTATATGGATATTCCTCAGTGTGTAGTAGATGGTTTACAAAATCTAAGTGAAGTGATCAAGTCTCACATTTCAAACAGCACTGTTGCTCCATTACTTGACAGTGTAGCTGTAGTTGAATGGAATGGTACTGTGGGTCGACCAAAATTTAGCATTAATACCCAAGTCCTTGAAAATCTTCTAAGCATGAACCTACCAATGACCACTCTGGCTACTGCCCATGGCATTTCAAGATCCACACTTTACAGGAGGATCAGGGAGCATAATCTCTCAGTCAGAAACACCTACTCTGATATATCAGACATTGTACTTGATCAAAAGGTGAGATCTATCAAAGCCAAAATGCCTGATGCAGGATATCGGCTTGTAAAAGGGTCTACTGGCTATGGGATATCGTGTCACATGGAGTAGACTGAAGCTGTCCATGCAGCGTGTCGATGCCACTGGCATTATTTCAAGAATGGTCCAGTTGACATGCATTGCCAGACGGACATACTCTGTTCCAGCTCCATTGTCTCTTGTCCACATTGACACCAATCACATGTTGATCAGGTATTGTTTTAAAATGAATTACCATACACATTTATTTTAATCAAGGATTTTATATCACTGTTATAATGTCAAATCTTCTGAAAATTTGAAGGTACAACATAGTGATTGTTGGGGGTATTGATGGCTTTTCCAGGAAGGTAAGCCTGATCTGTTTTCTATAACTATTCTTTACATTATCACATCTTGTTTACATTATCAGTCTTGCTCAGAATATAACCCAAGTCATCCTTAAATCCTATTCTTGAACAGATTTTCTACCTTAATGCAGCTTGGAATAACAAAGCAGAGACTGCTCTAGGTTTTTCATGGATGGTGTGCATGGATGGCCATCAAGGCAAGGACCTTCTCTTTCATACCAGGCGTAAATAGTTTAGCTGTCCAACCCGTGTCACACTACTCTGTTTGTCTCATTTACAGTCCGAGCTGATCAAGGGGTGGAAAATGTGGACATTGCGAGATGCATGTTTACTGTGAGAGGAACCGGTCGTGGCAGCTTTATTGCTGGCAAAAGTGTCCACAACCAGAGGTAAAAATTGTATGTATTACTATAAATGTTTACATTATATGAAACATTAATATCAAATGTAGCCACTTCATCATGTCATTTGCTTCCAGAGTGGAATGCCTTTGGAGAGATGTTTGGAATGCTGTAACATCTCAGTACTACAACTTGCTTCACATCTTAGAGGAAGATGGCTTCATTGACCTTTCAAATGCGGTTCACCTCTTCTGTGTGGGGTACGTCTTCATTCCCTGTCTACAACAAGATCTGCAAAATTTTGTGGAGACCTGGAATTACCACCCCTTAAGCACAGAGGGAAACTTGTCCCCTAATCAGCTTTGGAGGATTGGAACGCTACAAGTACCTGTGCCAGAGCCAGATCTGCAGGAGGTACTGTGTGTACTATACATTTAGCACAATAACAAAGAAATGCAATTTAAAGTATGGTATTCATTAATTTGCTATATCACTCTAACCTAAATTAATAAATATTAACATTAGATCATCTACAGTATGTGTAAAAACGAGGCAATGGCTATAATCGTAATTAATGTATGTGTTTGGTCCATCTCAGATCCTGCAAGCAGAACACTTGCATGATGAGGAACCTGACAGTGCTGATCCAGAGCATGGGGTCACTGTAGCAGAGATGCCATGCCCCTTGTCAGCTGAAGGTCTTGCTGCAGTGCAGCAAGTAAACCCCACCGTCGATTCCTCTTCTTTTGGACGGGACATCTATATGCATGTCCTTCAACTAGCCTCATTTTTTGGATGAAGTTTGATTGATATACTTGATGCACATCTCATGTGCTTATTCTAAAACAAGTATGCACTTTTAACTAATCACAAATAAAGCACAGTAAATAGATACCTATGTGTTTATTTTGCTCACTCACATTATAACAAGGTGGCATAAATAGCTGCAGTATAAAATGATTCTGGAACATTTTGTTTGTTTGTTTCACTAAAGAATAGAAAACATAAAGAATAAGCACAAGTGAAACACATAACACAGAACCATGCTCTTGCCAACAACTATTTAACACATTTATCACACTCTATCAAATCCTGCACCATACTTAATGGCAGTTTGCAGGAGTGTTTTAAAGGATTCATAATCTTTAATGTGGGCTACTGGGAATGTGATGGTGTCTGTGCAAGCACTGACACTTGGGTAACATACAGTGTGGTTAGGCATGGCGTTCAGACACCAATGATCAAATTTCACTGTGAGTTTGAATGTTTGCCGATCTTCCAAAAGCAGATGTCTGTGAGCTTGACCAGTCATCCACTGCATGACTGAGGATACAGTCAAAGCCTCTCCTGCAGTGTCGCCATCAGTTTGTGCATCTTGAAGAGAAATACAAAGTGTAGACCAGAATAAATCTCTCCAGTCATTTTATATGCAAACAGTTAAATATGATGCTCATTAATGGTATAGAATTTGGGTGGAAATCTAAACTTTCAATCACAAATAATTATTTTAAATGAATGGTTGGACATACCGTCAAGTTCTAGGAGGAAATCTTGGAAGTGCTCCAAGATTTTTGATTCCTTCACTTGCTTACTTGAACCACTTACACTCAACTCCGGGGCCAGATGGGACATGATGTAATGTGAGTCCACCTACATTTCAAACATAGTGATACACAATGAGATTTCTCAAAACTTAACTAGTTAAGAAGCAGAATGGAAGTTCTGGAAATACTATGTTGTACAACTAGTACAACACTCAAAGCAATACTCGTGCATACTGAGTCGTCGTCTCTGAAGATGAAGAGACTGCAACACTCTTCTGGCTTTGTCTGCATCACTTTGATGAGGTCATATACTTTCAGGCCCTCACGCAGTTGCTGAAGCATGGGCATGCATTTAGTCTTCACATGAAGTCGAATCGCCCTGAATACAGAAAAAATGATTTAAAGGAAAGGAAATAATCTCCAAGTCAAGCTGTCCAGGTGTAGTAGTTAAGACTTTAGGGCAGCGGGCTCAGGAAAATGGCCTTGAACAAGGCTTTGCTACTACATGTAGACAACGATATACATTTCCTTTTAACCCTACATGGACATGTCAATAAAATAAATTTTGAGCATTTTAATTGGAGTGCCTTGGCCTCTAGCTCATTTCTCTTTACTCAAAATAAATGTTTCACATTCACAGTAAATTCCCCAGTGTCAAATATGCATTGTCAAAGTATATGGACTCTTTCAGAGTTATTACAACAACGGCAAGAGTAATTACTACCAATTTATCGGCCAGTGTTAGTGAAAATAATCAGAGTTAAACTTTTCAGTGTATAATATACAGTGTCAAAGTTCATTGACTATTTTAGAGTTACAAACCTTCCCTTTGAGTGCATGGGCCCTCCTACAATGATTCACTTTAAAGCCAATTAGTTTAAATTAATAGTTTATTTTCTGTCTGTTAAACTGAATAAGCACTTTTCAAAGTAACGTGAGCGTTATATTGCTGTCTAATTACATTCAGTCATTTTAATGTGTGTTTGACAAAAGCTAGTTAGTGTTAAATTTAACTTCAGTGTTGTCTCAGAATGAATTGTGTTGTAGGTCATAATGTGATTTCACTTTTGCTGTTTTTACAGATACCATCATGTGATTAAAATAAAAATCGTCGTTTCACAGTTGGAAAAATCTGCGTTGGCCAAGAAACCTGGTGGAGACCATATTGTCAAGGAACACAACCGGACGAAAGGTGACTGAAGCTCTGAGGTAATTTAGATATCTCTTCTTCAAGCACATCTGTTCTTCTACGCTTGTGGGAAAGATATATATATTTATTTTAGGGCTGTACTCAACTCAGAACTGTGTCTGTTAAATTGGATGTGGCTGTTCAATACGAAGAATTGTTTGTTTGTACAATTTCTGCCAGCAAGACTCGAGTCATTTGTATTTTCCTATGATTTTTCTGCATTTACTGTGGTTAAAATAGAGTTATTGTTCTTCAACTTAGAGACAACTTTCTATCATCTGCCAAGATACTAATAAATTCCAACCAAGACCTTTACAATAGAGCCATGAGGGCTGTCACTTTAAAATATTGTATCTGTAACTATATGTTTTAATACCAAATTTGAGTGCAGTTAGATTTACACCATGAGCAGATAAATTGAAATAAAGGTAGAAATCTGTGAATCTCTCCTTTTGAAAATGTAATTCAAACACCTGCTGGTATAGAAGACTATCTGTGGCAAATCAAAAATCCAATATTAAATCTAACTGCAGTCAAATTTGATATAACATATAGTTACAGAATTAGTATTTCAAATAAAAAATTACAACCCTATGATTTTAGTTTTTCTCAGTTTTCCCAGCAACAGTACAATGTCTGAAGGCAGCAGATGATCAGAATATTTAAAGCCAAAATAACATCCCAACTCTTTCAGTGGCCAATTAGATTTTTGTTTGAATTGCTTGGTAGATTGCAGATGATAGCAAAGTTTGTTCTAAGGTGAAAAGGACTTGAATTGTACTCGGATGTGTGTATCCTCTAAATGCACTGTAAACACAGTTTTCAGTGTTTACAGACATTGTTAAGATTGTACTATTCTAAATATACCATGTCTTTTAAGAACAATGTCTTTTTTCCATCTTTGAAACTGAAAGTGATGTTTAATTGTTGCACAATGTAGCACAAATGGGAGTTACACGTGCATCTCTAAACTGATAATGAAAAATTGTATGCAAACTAAATGTTTTTTTATTTTTAATAAGTTGTTATTAAGATATGGATATAATGGTGTTTGTTGTTTTTTCCCCTGCAAACATTTTTTGTTTTATTGTTTGAAGTGTTAGCTGACATGGTGAAGTAGAAAATGCAAAACTCTTAAAAGTGTTCTTTTGAAGAGTTAAAAAGGAGTAAATTGAAAATAAGGTGTTGGGTAAGAATTACACTAAGGGAGTAAATATGTTTTAACACTGGCAGGAGTCAGTTGAAAAGCAACACTGTATTTGGAGTAATTTCTTAATCAACACTTAGTGTCAAGTAGGTCCAACACTCATGAAGGGTAACTTAATTATAGTTAATTTTGATTAACACTCAAAAAGTCAGAGTGTCAAATTTAAATAACACTACGAGTGTTATTTACATCATAGTGTCAAATTTGAGTAAAACTTCTCAGTGTAGTGTAGTGTAAAATATGAACTCTAACCAGAGTTAAATTGACTCTCAAAATGTAACACAGTATCCAGTGTAGCTTTAACACTCTGTAGATAGGCACCATATGTTCACTGAATCAGTGTTAAAATTGACTCTTTAAGTGTTGCATTGACACTGTCGATTTTACTGAAGCCAAAGAGCACCCTAGAAACAATAACCGATTATCATTATCCTTAAATTTCTCAAAGAAAAAATAAACCACACAAGGCCTATGATTATCTGAGGCCACACTACAATGTGTTACATCAGCAGTAATATTTGATATTGTGTGAATACCTTAATATGTTTTCTTTATGCTCCATGTCAACTTTGCCTGTGTAGCCACAATCCAGAATGGCTTGGATGTGAGGAGTCATGTCAGAAGCATCTTCAATCTTAAATAATCATACCAAAAATATTAAATTGTACTTTAATGCTTTGCATTCACAACACATTATACAATTTCCCAGGATACCACAGTCCATGGTTTACAGCTGAATAGACCAACATGAAATTGTTGCATCATTTGTCCTGTAAAGTGCCTTAATAAGGTTGAGAAAATCCAAAAAGGAGTGCAAAGGGTGTACACTATAAAAAACACATGAATGAACTAAAGTTAAGCTGCTAAAAGAAAAAAAATACAAGCGATGAGAATTTTGTTACTCTGATATGGGCAGGAAGTAAAAAAGGTTCTCTATACAATACATTAAAGTAGCAGCAAATCACCGTGTGCCTTGCTTTTTCCACATAGCCAGAGAAGCTATAAATGCTTTTTGTGCATGGCAGTGCATATAAGCGAGCCCCACGGCCGCCGCTCTGCACTGCTCTGCACTGCTCTCATACGGCAGTTACAGCTGATAACGACGGCGTTGGCGCGGAGGGGTAGCGCCCACCCTCCAGTTCCCCCTCAGGTAAACACTGTTAGCTCCATCAGCGCTTTCGCCGTAGTTTGAACTGAAAGCTCTGTTAGCGTCGTTGGCGCCGTTAGCTGCTAGCAGCCAGCTCAGCCGTCGCCATGTTGAGAGCCTTATTTGATGAGTTGGGAGTGTTAACGTGTTGTCAGCGAACATTTTGCTGATACGTTTAGTGTCGGCCTTTCTGCGATTTGGCAAATACATTACCCAAAGTTAATGTCATTCACCTGCATGTGGACGGAATTTCTGGGGTTTGGAGGAAGATCATGGGATGTAATTGAAAGGTCCAGAAAAAGCTATTAGTGGACCTTTTCTTTATCAAACACAAATCCACGTTTTTTATTAAAATAAAACCTAATCCCAATAAAGATTCAGGCACGGTATATTGTAGAACAATGTATTTATTGATATACTGGCGTTGCATATTGAGCTAAAGCTCTGAGACTGATCTGACATCAGCCATCTGTCACCTGATGGAATAATTGCTCTTATGACACCAGCCTGTGCTTGTTTACAACCTCCACTGTGAATGACCTTTTGCTCTCTCATAAATACTTTGATAATAATACCGTGCAGGCACAACAGCTAAGTTACCAGCGATTCATATTGAAAGCTAAATGAAACCTCCGAGGTCAGGTGGTGTCTGCGCAGTGGGAGGTGTGAATGGTTATTAATGTGATAACCATGAGCACATGGCTCACTGATGAGCTGAACAGGTTCACAGTAACAGTCTGGCTGACAGTCACGAGGTGGCATCATACTCGTTTCCTATGGTAAAAAGTGCAGCATGTGTGTGTGTGTGGCAGCTTATATATACTGGTTTGGCAAGGACGTAATGGATTACAACGGCCCATTGCTGTTACCATGGCAATAATTGCCAACAGTAGAGGCGCGCACCTGGCACTTTCAGGTTAATGGCACATCTGTACAGATGTTTGTTCAGCTCAGTCCTCAGATCTCACTTGTGTTTTTTGATCTATGCTGAAGTCCTGCATCTGGGCTTCGTGCTCAGTTAGTCTCCATGGAAAATCTACGAGGAGACTCAGCGGATGAGTGAAGGTGGACCGACAGAAGCAGAGACGGGTCGTTGATGTTCATGATCAGTGCTCGAGATCTATTCTTTATGTAAAGAGCGGAGGTAGGCACCGTGACGTCACCCTTTGGTTTGTGGACTAGTTTTGAAGCCACAAGTTCCTGTCACACATGACAGCAACACCTACGGCTCTGCACTTAGGATTTGTTAGCAACAAAAATAAAGAATAACACCATCATTTAACCTTGTCTCTGAATAATGTGTAAGTGCAGATTAGCTGTAGTGACATGACTTATATTACCCTGTACATAGTAGATCAAATACAGAACTCGCTGCAGTGATGATGTACCTGCTAATTATCCCAATATTGCAAGAAAGCAACCTCTTTTGTTTTCTGCCTTACGAAACATTTTTGTTACGCATTTATTATGTTTGAATGGATTTACACACACGATGAGTCGCTTAGCTCCAGCAGCATGGGGGTACTCAGGTATGTTAGTGCTTGGCTGTGTGTCAGGATAAGGTGTAGCCAAATGATTTCAGTAGTTCCTGGCTGTCACTGCCACGACGGATCCCAGATGTTGATGCTGTTCCAAGCCACCTGCTCATACCGCCCTCACCAGCCCACCTGATGTGGTTGCATGAGGTACTTTATCCAGAGTCAAGCTACTCATGCATGAGCGGAAGCGTTTATACTCTGTGCGCTGTTTCGTTGCATTATTCTCCGAAACGCCAGAAGGCATACAAACTAAATTAATTGTAAAAAAAAATGGACAAGTGTAACTCAAATATGCCATAGACTGTAATAACCTGCAAAATGCATGAAACCGACCTCCACAATGGCGAAAGAGAGTGTAATGATCGGTAACCTCTGTCAAAAAAAAAGAGGATTGAGATCCCAGGAAAGCTGCCTTAAATGAAGGAATACAGTTCGATATGAAAGTAGGATAAGGGGACACAAAGCATATAATAAATAATCATTTTAAAGAAAGTATGTATAACATAGGACGAATGAAGTGATTTAACAAATGTAAACTGATAATAATAATGTATGTATAACTGAGTAAGAAGTGAAGTCTGTGTGTGGGTGGAAAGAGCTGATGTAAGCAGGGTGGGGACTTTAAAGGATGAGATCATAACAGATGTTGGGGTGATGTCCGAACATGTCCAGAAATGAAGGAAGTGAGAGTGTCCACACACAGAAAGTTAGGGCGTTGTTCGCAGCACACACACATATA